TGACCGACTAGCAGAGGCTTCAGAAGCTACATCTGATTGATGACACATTGTTCTCTGCTATAACGTTAACGCAGAAACAGCGGAGTCAGGCGTTGTTTACTGCAGCTGTTTCAGCAGAGCTCCATGTGAAACTTCACCAGCTGCCCAGGGCTTAGACCGGAAGTTAGTTTCTGTTTTTCCCGTGCCGGTCACAAACATCAGATTTTCTTACAATTCCAGCCGTCAAAATCCAAAAACCTTTTTCATCTGAGGTTTTAATACACACTTACACATGCTGTTCAAATGAATTTTGCCTCTGGCCGATATCTTTAAATGAGTGAGTGAACCCACCACCAAGGATGAACTCCGCTAACTTTAAAAATCAGCTGCTCTAAATAAGCATGAAGGTCAGGGAGGAGCTCTAGGATGGACATGAATAAAGGAACTGTAATGTAGAGGTAAAGTAGGGCAGGGCCAACATTAGCAGCTGTCATACGGTCCATCTGAAATGTCTGACTTTCGTTTAGCTTGTTATGTGACAGTTTAGAGCACAGACTCATGTTAGAGTTTAGTCACGAGAACCTTGAGATACCTCACACACTGATGGCGTCTAAAAATTAACATTTTTTTTCTAAATAAAGAATAATTTTAATCACAATTGAAACGTACAATCCTAGAAAATCCTCGTCCAATCAATGTGCAAGTCCTGTTCTCACTGATTGGATAGAAATCCTTCCATCAAACTGTGTGTGTGTCCGTGTGTGTGCGTGCACACACGAGGGTGTTGTGAACTGATGTTTTGGTTTTGCACTGATGTAGCCATCTTTACGCTGACAAAAATGTAACTAAGTAACTTTTACTTTGAGTACATTTTATTTACGATACTTTTTACTTTTACTTGAGTAAAAATTTAGGCAAGTACTTTTACTTGTACTTGAGTAAAAAATGATCAAAGTACTGGTACTCATACTTAAGTAGGAAATTTTAGTACTCTTTCTACCTCTGCATGTAAAGCCACTTGCTTTTTTTTTTTTGATCAGATGTAGTGGTGAGATGGTTATGTAGGCAGATTGACATGCAGCTTTGCGCAGGTTCGCCTCCCAGTAGTGGCAGTATAAAGGTAGTTTTTAACCCCTTTTCTTCTTTTCTAGCTACACTTGCCAGTACTATGTTTACAACAATTTATTGGTATACCGTTTAAAATATAATGACTAATGTGTATTTTTTTAAATTTATTTATCCGTTTATTTAGCGAGTGTGAGTCCATTTGTGAGCAGAGTTTCAACTAAATTGCTGTTTAGGAACGACCAAATTCAAAGAACTTTTAGAGACATAAATATTTTGCAGAAAATGAACATTACAACTAAAATATAAACAGATTAAATGTTTCAGCTGGCTAAATAGATTGCTGTCGACCCCACCGAGAGTCTAACCAGCATCAGCTGAGGGGAAAGCAAAACTTAAGTCAGACAATCTTGCCACTGGACTACCAGAGTCCACATAATAGCCATAAATGCTGTTGTAGGCCGCTTTTGTTTGAGCGGCTGTGGGCAGATATTTGCTAAAAGAAACCTTTTCATTTCGGTATATATTCAGGCTTTGGGTGTGTCCAAATCCACAGGAAGGATGCTTGTAAGAGTGCATTTTGAGGTTGATGACGTGACAGCGCAGCGACGAGTACTGTCCGAATTCCAAGAATACTCATTCTCGCGTCCTCAAATGCATCCTCGGTCCGCCCACATTTCGAGGACGGGTCTGTTGTATCCTCACAGAACAAGGCTATCCCAGCATGCTTTGCGCGCCAGCTGTGGATTTTCAACAAGAAGAGAAAATGGGGAGAGCTACGAAGTTTTAAACGTAAGTTTGTTAAAAGCTAGCCGTAGAAACCTAAAAAGCTTAAAGCGGTTCAGTTTATAAACATTTTTTGTTGGTATGTTTGTTTTTTAAATTACATTTTAGGCAGAAATCACCCAGAACGAGTTTGTTTTGCAGGTCCCAGTTATTCCTGTGTGTGTGTGTGTGTAGCGAATTAAACTTGTCATTTGTTTTAAGGACAACGGAGCAAAGAAGCGTTTTTATTAAGCTTTGAGGTGAAGAGTGAAGCTGTTTACACACACAGCCACAGAAGTTCTTCTGTGAAAAGTAGTTTTACATTCAGGGATTTACACAACTGACACATTTTAATTAAGTAAAAAGTGTTTGTGTGAAGAATATAATTTATCTTCTCATGTGGATAAATATAAAAATGTGTTTATTGCCTTTTTGTCACCTGTGGTCTCTGATTTTCTCTGTAGGACTTCAGGTGTCCAGGGTCAGGAGAGGCTTTACCTGTTGGTCATCCTGGGAGAGAGGCCTTCTACTGTCATCATGTTAATGTTATTTAGCTGTTTGATATTTGAACACATTTATTAAAACAAATACTAATAACTTTCTGGTCATTGATTTTATCACCAGTTTTATTATTACAGATGTTTTTGAACATGTTACATGAACAGAAAATGAAAAGATGGTAAGGAGACAAGATTATTTATAATAGGTTAAACTTATTTACAGATCAAAACCAGTATGGACCAGTTATGTATGGTTAAAGCAGGATTAACCCCAGTGACTCTTCCTGGATCATTTATTTAAACTGAGTGAGCAGGAAGTCTTTAACAGTGCAGCTGGATCTGCTGCAGGAGGATCCAGACGTGGATGGAGGGCTGGAGCAGACCCGTGGCTGGACGTTTCTGGCCAGAGGAACATCATACAGGATGGTCTGCAGAGAGAGCTTTTGGACGCTTCTCACTGTCCACTCCATCGTCCATCTACAGGGCCTGCTGGACTGGCTCAGACGACGGCTGTTACATCTCTGTGAATGACTTGCCTGTTAACAATAGTGGTGGTCTGCTGGTACCTCCTCCAGGAAGCACCACTGACCTCCTCCACACACATCTTCCTCACGCTCATCCTCCACACCCACAACTTCAACAGCACAGAGGCAGATGTGCAGCACAGTGTATGCTGACCTGTAATAGATAAAAACATAGTTTAGTTTTACATTTTTCAATAAAAAAAACATATAACCTGCAGTACAATGGTTCTGATCAGTTTAAAGAAAAGCAGCGGGGAAAACTACAGAGAATTTACATTTTTAAGACAGATCTAATCATTATTAGGCTTAAGTTTAATAAACAAATGCACATTGAAAACAGTTCAATGCTATTTTATTAAAAAGCCTGTTTTTTAAAATGTTTTACCCTCATTTGATGCAAAATAAGTTCTAAGGTCCAATTTATATTAGAAAACATCCTACTGCATTCGACATTTATAATGCATTTGGTTTATATTAATAGTACTCTGTAGAAATGTGTATGTTTAACAAGTTCATTCTGTAGCTTAAAACATACATGAAACCATCTAAAGTTAACATGTAAGTCCTGAAAGCTTCTAGAATAAACAAAGTTACTTTACCTGAAAACGGTTGTGAACAAACGCTGCTGATGGATGTGAAGCTGCTGTAGCTCCTTAATATTCCTGCTCGATTTTTGCTAGCTTTAGCATTTTTCCTTTGCGTGTAGCTGCTGCCACGGCTGTGACGGGACCGGACCTACGGGCCACCGTAGAGGTGAAGGCTAGACTGTCTGAATTCAGAGCCGCTGGGTTCCGGTCTTCAAGGACCCGGCCTTGCCAGACATGCGAGGAGTCGTACTCATAAGCATCCTTCCTGTGGATTCGGACACACCCTTTGTCATGTAGCAAGTTATATTTATCTTGTTTAATTGGAGCATAGATCATAGCATTAACAATTGTAAACTAGTAACAGCCGTAATTCATGTGGGTCAGGTTAGTTTGCGATGAAGTTGAAAAACAAGAATAGATGAAGTCAGTGGGCTAGGCTGAGTTTGCGTGAATGGGTGGTGCTGACTCTGATGCAGCTCCACCTTATGGTGCAGTTCCGCCTTTGAAGTTCTGCAGCGAGCACCCTCTCCCTAAATCCGCCCCTGGTCCTAAATCCGCCCCTGACTCACTGTCTATTTATCGCTAATCTGTCACGTTTTTAGGCTTTCAGTTCTAAAACATCTGGTCTCACATGGTTAAATATACAAAACATAAATTGAAATAAACTTCTCATAACTAGAAAACAAGAGTGATTTTGAAATGCAGCTTCACTCTGTAACAATTTAGAGACTGATACAAAAATATTAATAACAGAGTTATAATTTGTAATTGAACTTTTCATTTGGTATTAATGTTATAATTATTAAACATATATTTAATTTATGTAATTATAAAAATATACACTAGAAAACGTACTAGTCGTGGGTAGTACTTAGATTCTCCACTAGAGGGAAGTGTCCAGGATTCTATTCAGCAGGGTTTTGGGAAATGTGCTCATCCTGATAAAGAAGAAAAAGTCTTAGATCTTAACCCATTAAAATATAAAGCATTTTGCAATGAAGAGTTTATTAGTCAAAATGAAAAGTCTTCTTCAAAATGAAGAGAAATAATAAAAAAATATACAGATGATTGTTCATGTGTGCTCACTCAGAGAAATTAAATGCATTGTTAAGCAAGGTCGCCCATACCCTCAGAAATATTAGATCAAATTGTGTTGTTCTCATTGGCTGGAGCTCTACAGATAAACTGAATCACAAGTGTAAAGGAAACAGGAAGTGATTTCAGTTTTCTTTATAAAGACTCCAAAAGAGCTGATTATGTGGAAACAACAAAAATTTGTTCATAATTACTGAGTAAAAATATGTAAAAACTACAACAACAGAAATTGAAAGATAGAAAAATCTGGGCAGGATATAATAATTTAATCAATAATAACATAGGTCTAGAATAACTTTGAAATATAATAATGTGTTTTATTTAATGCATTTAATTATTATGACACTTCTTAAACTTCCAGAGTGGCTAGTGCATAAACTCCAAGTTGCGACTTTAACATGAATTATCTTATTCCACAAGACATTTATGGGTCACAAGGTAAAATGATGCAGCCGGTAAAGAGGAGGGAGCTAACCTCAACAGGTGCAGCATGAAACAGAAAGTATAACACGCGCTGACAGAGCAGTAATGCAACACGCAAGAACCAGCAGCACCAGAGCAAAGGTCTTTTCTGAACTAACCCTTTTCCTGTTCAGGTAAGTGTGGTAACTTTTTCTTTTAAACTGAATCCTAAAATCATTTTGTGTCCGAGTTTGGTTGAAATCGAGTGAAATCTTTTCACTTTTCTTAGAGCAGAAGCCATGCAGGAAACGGTCACAGACACATGCTGAAGGTTCACGTCTGCTGTTAATGGAGCACCATCTTTGCTCGATTGCATTAGATAAACTTACGCTTAGATGCCCACAGAAGAACAAGAATGTATGTGGCTGTTGATTTGACTTGTTTTCCTGTAAGCAAACAGCCTGTTGCAGCCATGTTGGTAATCTCCATCGTCCCCTATAGATTTTATGTTCTCTGTTTCAACAAAGCTATGTTTTAGTGAAGCTTTTAATACAGTTTGGAGTACCAACCACTTTGCTACGATTACTTAAAAACGGATTATTTTATACCTACAAGTGATTAAAGCAATAATAATATATTGTTAATGCTCCAGTTGTAATTTTTAGAACATAACTTTTCACTGCAGTAAATTCATAAATTGCACACATAATTAAGTGGTTTCCTTTGTCCATCACAGATAACTGATAACTTTTCTCTTTCACCTACAAATGGTCATGTGTGTTTATTGGTCATGTATTTTTGCAGTAGTTAGTAAACCGGAGTTTGAAGTGCCTGTCAATGTTTAACTCTTGTGATGTGGTGTGCTACTGTATCTTTATTTGTGTAGCTTTGTAGAATAAATCATGGGTGTGTAAAGCAGACGTGATCAGCCATTTTATTTGTTTATTTTCAGATCTTTTTATATTCACCCATAAAGATAATATAATTAATTTAAATATTTTAATCATTCAATTCTCAGCCTTAATGCTTTTTAAAGTTCATTAAACCTGCATTATGCATCAGACCAAAATACTTTTCAAAGTAGACAGATTTATATTCACATGGTTCACCTGATACCCAGAAATTTTCTACTGTTTTAAAAGAACATTGATCACCCCAAATTTGAGCCATATGTGGGATATGTGTGTGCGTAGAAAGTGTATAATAAAATACTTTTATTTCTTTAACTGCAGAGGGCGGCTTCAGTCGGAGCAAATCAATGATTTCCCCAAACAGAGATTTGTCCTAGACCAACCCAGATTCCCCAGGAATGGATTCAAGGTAAGAAACTGCAAATAAAAGAAATAGAATAGAATAGAGTAGGCTTTATTGATCCCACAGTGGGGAAATCCACTTGTTACAGCAGCACAAACACTTAAGAGAATTATTTGAAGATAAAGGTAATTGTGTTTATACATATAGGCGGTAATCTAGTATTGAAACCTTTGACCACTAAAAACCACGAATAAAAAAATGAAAAAAACTTGGGCTCTAACACTATGCAGCATACTGCAAGAGACACAGACATACTATGTAAATCCGGTATTGCACAAGTATTGAACATGTACGGAGTATTGCATTGATGTTATTGTTTACCAGGACAATGACAGTACAGCTTAAAATGAGCAGTTATACATTTGTGCTGCAGAGGGGATGAAATATCTACGATAGCATTCTGTTTTACATCTGGGATGTCTCAGTCTGTCTCTGAAGGAGCTGTCCATGGTCTCCATAGAGGAATGTTTCAGTTCAGTTTTAGTTTATTTGTCATATGCAAGTTAGCACAGGGTCAACATTGCAATGAAACGTGTATGACGAGCAGCGGTCTCTCAGCAACATGATACAGGAGAAAATATAATGAAATATAATGAAATATAATAAAATAAAGCAAAAAAATATAGTAAGGAGCAAAATATTAGAGAGACATGGTAAAAGGGAAAAGATGACTAAATATATATGTGTCAATAAAGAAAATCCTGAAAAGAAATATGACGGGAGGGCAGATGGGATATTGCACAGGAATGAGCTGCAGAAAATTACAGTATTGCACTTTAGATATAAATTACAGTATTGCAGGATATAAATTATGCATATAGATTACAGTGTTGCACTTTGGATATAAATTACAATAACAATAAAGTGAAGTGACCAGTACGGATTAAATATAGTACTTGTGAAGCTGCAGGGTAGCTTCTGAGTCCTGTGTTGTGTGTGTTTAGGTGTTGTGGTTGAGGTGTCGTATGGCTTGATGATAGAAACTGTTTTTAAGTCTTGTAGTCCGAGCAGACAGACTCCTGTAACGTCTGCCAGATGGTAACAGGGAGAACAGCTGATGTGCCGGGTGGCTGTGGTCCTTGATGATGCTGTGTGCTTTCCGGAGGCATCGTTGGAGATAAATGTCCTGAATGGCAGGAAGCCTCATGCCAGTGATGTGCTCTGCTGCTTTCACCACCCTCTGTAGTGATTTACGGCTGCTGGCAGAGCAGCTTCCGTACCACACTGTGATGCAGCTCGTCAGCAAGCTCTCAATTGCACACCTGTAGAAATTTGAGATGAAGCAGGCGCTCACGACAAACTTCCTCAGCCTCCTCAGGAAGTAAAGCCGCTGGCGAGCTTTCCTGATAGTAGTGTCTGTGTGAAGGGTCCAGGAGAAGTCCTCAGTGATGTTGACTCCAAGGAACTTGAAGCTGCTGACCCTTTCGACCTCGACCCCGTTGATGCGGATGGGTTGGTGTTCCCTGACTGGTCGTTTCCGGTAGTCCACTATCATTTCTCTGGTTTTGCTGATGTTGAGAGTCAGGTTATTTTCCAGGCACCACTCGTACAGTGCCATCACCTCCTCTCTATAGGCCGTCTCATCATCCCCTGTGATGAGGCCTATGATGGTTGTGTCATCCGCAAACTTGATGGTGATGTTGGTCTCATGTTTAGCAACACAGTCGTGTGTGAACAGGGAATATAGGAGGGGGCTAAGCACACAACCCTGGGGCGTAACTGTGTTTAGGATGAGTGATGAGGAAGTGTGCTTACCAACTCTCACCACCTGGGGCCTGTCTGTGAGGAAGTTTAGAATCCAACTGCAGATCGGTGTTCCCAGCCCAAGGTCGACGAGCTTCGTGGCAAGTCTTGAGGGGATGATGGTGTTAAATGCAGAGCTGTAGTCGATGAAGAGCATTCTTGCATATGTATTTCCTTTCTCCAGGTGAGTGAGGGCGGTGTGTGTTGCCAGGGCGATGGCATCCTCTGTGGCTCTGTTTGTCCGATAGGCAAACTGAAGAGGATCCAGTGTGTCAGGGAGGGAGGAGCAGATGTGACATTTGACCAGCCGCTCCAGGCACTTCATGATGACGGATGTCAGTGCAACAGGACGGTAGTCATTCAGACAGGAGACCACTGATTTTTTGGGGACGGGAATGATGGTGGATGCTTTGAGGGACGTCGGGACCACTGACTGCCTCAGGGAGAGGTTGAAGATGTTGGTAAACACCTCTGCCAGCTCGTCTGCACACACTCTGAGTAGCCGGCCTGGGATGCCGTCTGGTCCTGGAGCTTTGTGAGGATTGACCTTTTTAAAGGCCCATCTCACAGCTTCTGTTTCCAGAGTTAGAGTTGCAGCCTCACTGTCCTCTTGAGGGTAGAGGATCTCCTCTCTGTTGTCTGCATCAAAACGAGCATAGAAGTTGTTCAGCTCGTCTGCGAGAGATGCAGTGGGCTGAACACTGACTGTGCTGACCTTCTTGTAGTCAGTGATGCAGCGCAGTCCATTCCACAGTCGCCTGGTGTCGAAGCTGTGGTAGCCGGACTCCATTTTGTCCCTGTAGTCCTTTCTGGCCTTTTTTATGGACTTTCGGAGGTCATACCTGGCTGCTTTATATGCGTCAGCATCTCCAGAGTTGAAGGCAGAGGTTCGCGCTTTTAGCTTGGCGCGAACGTCTTTATTTACCCAGGGTTTCTGATTTGGGTATATGCGGACAGTGGTTTTTGTGATGATATCATCCATGCACTTCCCAATATATCCAATGACAGAGTCTGTGAGTTCATTGATGTTGCCATCAGCTGCATCCACAAATATCTGCCAGTCAGTTGTCTCAAAGCAGTCCTGCAGGACCTCCTCAGCCTCACTGTCCCATTTGTAAATAACTCTGGAAGCTGGTTTTTCCCGTTTTAGTCTTTGTCTGTATGCAGGCAGCAGCAGAATGGAACAATGGTCTGCCTTACCAAAAGCTGGGCGGGGGAGGGGTTTGTAACACTCTTTGAATGGAGTGTAACAATGGTCCAATGTTTGATCACCTCTTGTGGGGAAGGAGATGTGCTGATAGTATTTGGGTATTTGGAATGCAGTGGGTGGGTGGTTTTTTTTAAGATGGTGGTCACCTTCCCTAGCATCCTCCTTTCACACGTCTCCTCAATTGCATCCAGTGGGCAGCCCAGAACCGAGCTAGCTTTGTGAACTAGCTTGATCAGTCTCTTCCAGTCTTGGTCAGAGCTGCCTGCACCCCAACAGACCACAGCAGTGTGGATAACAGAACCAACAACAAAGTGATAAAAGGATTTTAGCAGCTGGGAATTAACTCCGAAGGACCTCAGCCTCTTCAGGAGGTGGAGGCGGCTTTGGCCCTTCTTATACAGAGCATCTGTGTTGTTGGACCAGTTCAGTTTATGGCTGAGGTGAACACCCAGGTACTTAAAGGTATCCACCACCTCAATGTCTGCTCCCAGGATGTTTACTGGTGAGTGAGGAGGAGTGTTTCTCTGGAAGTCAATCACCATTTCCTTTGTTTTACTGGTGTTCAAGTGAAGGTGGTTATGCTTAGCCTAGTGAACTAGACCAAATTCTTGCTTTGCAAAGTTTGGTCTAGGAACGCTCCACTGGAACCTCGGCAGCCCCTAACAGCATTCTGGCTGGCCAATCATAGCTCTCTAGAGGGGTTTCAAACACATAAAGAGCTGTGATTGGTCCATAAAGGTGGGCCAATCATAGTGCTCTATCTGCTTAGTGAACAAATCACAGAGCTTTATCCGCTTTTTGGGCCAATCAGGGCACTCTATATGCCTGGTGGGTGGGATGATGCAACAGAGTGAAACAAGATGGCGACAGCTCGTTTGAAACGGCTTTTACATCAATTTTGGACTATTAGAACTTGGGCGTCATTAGAATCAGGAGCAGATACGTAGATGTATTTAAGTGCTTTTTTTTTTTTAAATGATGTGTTTTCTCCTTCAACTGTGGACATTGTCAAATGTAGCTGAGAGGTCAATGAGTAGAAGTAAAACATGTGGCTACAATGTAGCTCATCGCCATCAGTGTGTGACTGGATGAATGACTTGTGTTATAAAGCTCCTTAGGGGGTTTTGGGACTCTAGAAGTTGTTATATAAATACAGGCCACGTACCATTTAATCTGATAGAAAAAAATAAACAAAGGTCTTTAAAAAGGGTCAATATTTAAAAAAAACAAACAAACAAAAACAAATGTATAAATATTCAAATATTTGAATTCTGACTATTTTGTCATTTTCTTGATTTGTCAGAGCTCAGATCAACTTCACCTACACAGAGCGTTGTGTCTGATCATAGTTCCGGGTCCAAGGATGGTAGATGGTAAATGGCCTGCATTTGTATAGCACTTTCTGATAGTTCTACAACCCTCCAAGGCTCCTCACAAGACAATAGCCATCCCACTCACACGCTGGTGGGCTACGATGTAGCCACAGCTGCCTGGGGGGGCACTGACAGAGGCGAGGCCTGCCAAACACTGGCGCTACCAGTCCCTCCAACCAGGTAAGATGGGTTAAGTGTCTTGTCCAAGGACACAACAACAGCATTCTCAGAGCTGGGATCAAACCTGCAACCTAATGATTACTGGACAACTAGCTCTACCTCCTGAGTTACTGCTTTCCCGGATGGACGAACCACTTACTTAGAGGAATGCTAAACTCAGGTTTTAAAATGAAAGGAAAAGGAAACATTTGTGGACACAATTTTTTCTCTCAATCCATAATGTGATTTTATATATTTTCAACAGTGGAGCTAACTGTCCCGTTCTGCTTCCCAGCCTTGGTTGCCTCTCGTCTCTCCTTGTGTTTATTAGTTGCACCTACCTCTTGTTAACCTGATCACCTGCTCCTGTGTATTTAAGCCCTGTCATTCCTGTGTCTTTTGTCGCTTCGTCTGTTGTCCTTGTCTTATGTCACCCATGTCAACGTGCTTTTGTTCCTGCACTCCCAAGTCCCTGCAATAAATGGATTTAAGTAGTTTGCTGCCTCAGAGCTTCTCTCACCTATATATGGGTCCAAAACCAACACTCACTGTGACACTAACAAGCTGAGACCAAATTCCCCTACACCAGACCTGGGCATCTTACGGCCCGCGGGCCACATACGGCCCTTTGGTTGACTTTGACCGGCCCGCGTAAGGTTAATTGGAAATTACAAAATAAATGTATTTTCTCATTTTACCTCATGCATGGGCTAAGGCTGCATTGCTTTTATTTTGAAGTTGTTTTTTACGTGCACAATGACGCAATACGTATAGCAACAAGTGCCCGAAGTTGGTGATTGTAGCCCCAGAAATGTCCGCTCATGCAAAAAAAAAAAAAAAAAAAAGTTTCCGAATGCAGGATTTTCAACAAAAATTGGACTGCTACGTATTTTTTTTACTGAAGTCGGAGGCAAAGCCGTGTGTTTGGTTTGTGGGGAGGAGATTGCCGTGTTTAAGGACTACAATTTGAGTCGGCATTACGACAAGAAACACTTGGAAAAATACAAGAACTTGTCTGATGCTGAAAGGGCACGGACATCCGAAGCTTTGCTAGCAAAGTTGCTAAAGCAGCAAGGCTTTTTTACTAAGCTTCACACATCAGGGATGCAGCAGCCAGCACCAGCTTTGTGATATCCCACAAAATAGCTAAAACCAGCAAGCCGTTTTCGGAGGGAGAGTTTGTCAAAGAGTGCATGGTGGACTCCGCAGCACTAATATGCCCTGAAAAAAGGCGCATTTGAGCAAATCCCGCTGTCCAGGCGAACCGTGACCAGGAGGATCGAGGACATTGTGGAGAACCTGGAGCTTCAGCTGCAACGTGAAGTGGCAAGTTTTGACTTTTTCTCAGTGGCCGTAGACGAGAGCTGTGATGTCCGGGACACAGCTCAGCTGCTCGTATTTGTCTGGGGGATAACGGAGCTCACAGAGGAGCTGGCAGCAACGACAGGGAGTGATCTTTTTACAGAGGTAAATGCGTGCATGGACACTCTGGGATTGAAATGGGAGAGACTGTCAGGTGTCACAACAGACGGTTGTCCAAACCTTACAGGGAAAAATGTCGGACTTTTGAAACGCATGCAAGATAAAAGTGACAGACATCTATGCAGATCAAAAATAGGTGTTTTTGCATTGAATTATACACCAACATGTGTTGTGCAAGTCAGTGCTAAAAATCAACCATGTTACTGATGTTGTTACTAAAATAATAAACTTCATCAGGGCACGGGCAATGAATCACAGACAGTTTGTCGCTCTTTTGGAGGACTCCACACAGCTGTCAGATGGCTCAGCCTGGGGAAAGTGCTGAAGAGGGTTTGGGACTTGAAAGCAGAGATTCAGGATCTCTGCTGGATTTCTACTCTTCTCTTAAGGAGGAGAACTTTCCAAACCTGAGGAGACATGCTCAGAAGATGTTGGTTTTCTTCGGCTCTACCTACATTTGTGAACAAACATTTTCAATGATGAAGCTTACAAAATCCAGGTATAGATCCTCTCTCACTGATGATCATTTGTCAGCTGTGCTTCGCATCTCCACCTCAGACATTCAACCTGACTTTGATGCACTCGTTAAAGCCCAGCAGAGACTAGATTTCTCTCACTGAATAAGAAAAAAATTGCTTAAAAACACAAAATAAGGTGTTTGGACCACAAATGAAGGCAACTAGCAGTGAACTGGGACAACTTTTTTTTAAACCTCTTTCTCAAGATCACAGTTCAGTGATTTTATTTTACAGACAATACTGTGTGTCTGTAGAATGCTAAGAACTTCTTTCCAACAATATTTGAAACTCAAAATGTGTTTTGGAGTGAATGTGACTGAAACTGTTAACTAATATAAGTCACAAGTGTTTAACAAAAACCAAATGCGCACTTTGTTTACCATTGCCTTAGGAAATTTGAATAAATCACATTTTTGTAAGCCAACCTCACTTTTTCCTTTTTGCTCATTTATAACATATAGTCTACTCTTACCAGCTTGAAAAAACGATGGCATTTACTGCTTTTTATAAAGAAATACAATTAATATTATGCATAATTGACTTCAGCCTTTTGGCCTGGCCCTCCACAATATTTTCTATTTCTCATGTGGTCCCATGGAAAAAATAATTGCCCACCCCTGCGCTACACTAAGCAGTGTGTCTGAGCAGAGTTCCCGGTCCAAGGATGAACCACTAGATTTCAGGAAAGCAAAACCAAGGTTACTAAAAGAAAAGGAAATAGATAAATTGTACAGGAAACCTTTAATTTTTCCAGTTCATAATTGCACAAAATTTCATTTGCAGTCAAACTGACAAGAAGAGAGCAACTTCACCTACACAGAGCACTGTGTCTGCGCAGAGTTACGGGTCCAAGGATGAACCACTAAACTTCAGGAATGCAGAACAAAGGTTATAAAATGAAAGGAAAGGGAGAATTTTGTACATAAATCCTATTTTTTCAATTGATAATAGCATTATTTGTATTTTTTGCAGTGGACCTAACAAGCAGAGACCAACTTCACCTACACAGAGCACTGTGTCTGCGCAGAGTTCCAGGTCCAAGGATGAACCACTGAACTTCAGGAATGCAGAACAAAGGTTATAAAATGAAAGGAAAGGGAGAATTTTGTACATAAATCTTTTTTTTCAATTGATAATAGCATTATTTGTATTTTTTGCAGTGGACCTAACAAGCAGAGACCAACTTCACCTACACAGAGCACTGTGTCTGCGCAGAGTTCCAGGTCCAAGGATGAACCACTGAACTTCAGGAATCCAGAACAAAGGTTATAAAATGAAAGGAAAGGGAGAATTTTGTACAGAAATCTTTTTTTTTCAATTGATAATAGCATTATTTGTATTTTTTGCAGTGGACCTAACAAGCAGAGACCAACTTCACCTACACAGAGCACTGTGTCTGCGCAGAGTTCCAGGTCCAAGGATGAACCACTGAACTTCAGGAATGCAGAACAAAGGTTATAAAATGAAAGGAAAGGGAGAATTTTGTACAGAAATCTTTTTTTTTTTCAATTGATAATAGCATTATTTGTATTTTTTGCAGTGGACCTAACAAGCAGAGACCAACTTCACCTACACAGAGCACTGTGTCTGTGCAGAGTTCCAGGTCCAAGGATGAACCACTGAACTTCAGGAATGCAGAACAAAGGTTATAAAATGAAAGGAAAGGGAGAATTTTGTACATAAATCATATTTTTTCAATTGATAATGGCATTATTTGTATTTTTTGCAGTGAACCTAACAAGCAGAGACCAACTTCACCTACACAGAGCACTGTGTCTGCGCAGAGTTCCAGGTCCAAGGATGAACCACTAAACTTCAGGAATGCAGAACAAAGGTTATAAAATGAAAGGAAAGGGAGAATTTTGTACATAAATCATATTTTTTCAGTTGATAATAGCATTATTTCTATTTTTTGCAGTGGACCTAACAAGCAGAGACTAACTTCACCTACACAGAGCACTGTGTCTGCGCAGAGTTCCAGGTCCAAGGATGAACCACTGAACTTCAGGAATCCAGAACAAAGGTTATAAAATGAAAGGAAAGGGAGAATTTTGTACAGAAATCTTTTTTTTTCAATCGATAATGGCATTATTTGTATTTTTTGCAGTGGACCTAACAAGCAGAGACCAACTTCGCCTACACAGAGCACTGTGTCTGCACAGAGTTCCAGGTCCAAGGATGAACCACTAAACTTCAGGAATGCAGAACAAAGGTTATAAAATGAAAGGAAAGGGAGAATTTTGTACATAAATCATATTTTTTCAATTGATAATGGCATTATTTGTATTTTTTGCAGTGAACCTAACAAGCAGAGACCAACTTCACCTACACAGAGCACTGTGTCTGCGCAGAGTTCCAGGTCCAAGGATGAACCACTAAACTTCAGGAATGCAGAACAAAGGTTATAAAATGAAAGGAAAGGGAGAATTTTGTACATAAATCATATTTTTTCCGTTGATAATAGCATTATTTGTATTTTTTGCAGTGGACCTAACAAGCAGAGACCAACTTCACTTACACAGAGCACTGTGTCTGCGCAGAGTTCCAGGTCCAAGGATGAACCACTGAACTTCAGGAATCCAGAACAAAGGTTATAAAATGAAAGGAAAGGGAGAATTTTGTACAGAAATCTTTTTTTTTTCAATTGATAATGGCATTATTTGTATTTTTTGCAGTGGACCTAACAAGCAGAGACCAACTTCGCCTACACAGAGCACTGTGTCTGCACAGAGTTCCAGGTCCAAGGATGAACCACTAAACTTCAGGAATGCAGAACAAAGGTTATAAAATGAAAGGAAAGGGAGAATTTTGTACATAAATCATATTTTTTCCGTTGATAATAGCATTATTTGTATTTTTTGCAGTGGACCTAACAAGCAGAGACCAACTTCACCTACACAGAGCACTGTGTCTGCGCAGAGTTCCAGGTCCAAGGATGAACCACTGAACTTCAGGAATCCAGAACAAAGGTTATAAAATGAAAGGAAAGGGAGAATTTTGTACAGAAATCTTTTTTTTTTCAATTGATAATGGCATTATTTGTATTTTTTGCAGTGGACTTAACAAGCAGAGACCAACTTCGCCTACACAGAGCACTGTGTCTGCACAGAGTTCCAGGTCCAAGGCTGAACCACTAAACTTCAGGAATGCAGAACAAAGGTTATAAAATGAAAGGAAAGGGAGAATTTTGTACATAAATCATATTTTTTCAGTTGATAATAGCATTATTTGTATTTTTTGCAGTGGACCTAACAAGCAGAGACCAACTTCACCTACACAGAGCACTGTGTCTGCGCAGAGTTCCAGGTCCAAGGATGAACCACTGAACTTCAGGAATGCACAACAAAGGTTATAAAATGAAAGGAAAGGGAGAATTTTGTACATAAATCTTTTTTTTTCCAATTGATAATAGCATTATTTGTATTTTTTGCAGTGGACCTAAAAAGCAGAGACCAACTTCGCCGACACAGAGCACTGTGTCTGCACCGAATTCCCGGTCCAATAGAGTTCGGGCCAATGCGACATTACGTGAAATAATCAATGCAACAAAGTCAGGTCACCATCAGTCCATGATTTTGTAGCCTTCTTTAGCTACCTGAAACTTGTGTAGGCTGTGCTGATGTAAGTTCTGGTTTTAGCTCTTTGCTTCATCTCCAAAAATATTACTCTCACTTTTACTTCCAGGTGTCGCCATGATACCAAGAGAAAAAGTAAACTTCTTTTTCTTGTGCTTTTGATTGATGATTGGTGAACTGAGAATGCTAACATCAATAAAGCAGATAAAGAGCACCCCCAAGGACACCTACCCGCTCCGCAATATCAAGTGCGGTTTTTGGTCAGCAGAGCGCTACAGAGTGGTGTCAAAAATTAAACTGATCAAGTTTCTAACTCAACAATCACTGAGATCAATGTTAAAGCTCTGGACTAAAATAAAAAAAAAAAAGATCAGTTGTTACTTTAAGTAAACTTTTTGTACTTGTAGACCCCTGAGCCATTTTCTCATACCACAAGTACCCACATAGTCAAATGTGTTGATAATTCCCCAAAAGTAGAACGTACAGCTGATTATTAAATGAAAATAGTTTCATCAAATCTCCTTGGACTGCCAGAAGACATGACACAGACAACTTTTTTTATTCCAGAGTGCAGAACATTACAATAGTCAAGTCTCAAGCATGTATTGCTATCTAGAGGTCATTAAATGAAAGAAATAGCTTGACTTTACTCATGAATCTTAAATAGAAAAAATTTGGATTTCACAACCGTGTTTGTTTGTTTAAGTCCAGATTGTTATCGAACACAACTCCCAGATGACTTACCGAAGACTTTAGTTCAGGTTTGCTTTGACAAAGACAGGCTTTAGATAAAAGAAGAAAAGTAGAAGAAAAAAATTCTCCTTAATGCTGAACCACATCTCACTTCCTGTCTGGCTCACAAGACTTATTTAACTTTACCAATCCTCATGCAGTGTCCAGAAAAAATAGGCTCCATGTGGAAACTTTCTGGATCACTGCATTTCCTGCTGGAGTAGCTACCAACGCATATTGTGACATTTAATAGACTGAAATTCTGTTTTTAAGGGTAGGTATTCTGCTTATTTAGTATGCAGTTAAGCAAAGTAATGGAAATGCTACAAGTACATTGTAAAGCAGGTATTCAGTGTAACTAAATACATTTACAATGTATTCTCCCCAACAATGATTAAGCATAATTTTTGGTTAATCCACATTTTTTGATCCACTAAATAGGTAAAATGAACCAAACGGTCAGTACTGTGAAGAGTAATAATGGAGTCATTCTCTACACCAGGTGTCTGCAACTAAATTTGTCCAAGGGCCAGAGTTTTTTCCAGCATACACCGTGAGGGCCAGATGGTCTTGTATATATAAGGTTTTATAATTACTTCGTTTTCCATCTACACTGTTTTGATTGTAGTTTTAGTTGTGCATGGAGAACATGAACAATGTTTGATATTTGGGACATGACATTTGCTGTTAAACTTCAATGTCCCCAATTGGGGATCTCCAATCGAGGTTCACTGCTCTACACAGTCATGATGGCCCATATTAGACCAAAGTGGTTCAAAGTATGGAACAACTGCTTCAGTTATTCTGTGAAAAATCGGTTTCCGTCAATAGTGAATTTAAAGTGCTTTTTGTCCTGGATGGTTTGGAGAAATGTGAACTTCCTCTAGACTTTAAGAACAACCATGATGTTGCAGATATAAATAAGCAAGTATCGATAGATGTGCTCCTAACAAGCCTCATCCAGGGAGAACTTCTTCCCAAAGCCTGTGTCTGGATCACCTCTCAACCTTCTGGAGTTCACAAGATTCCTTTAGAATATATCAGCAAAGTTACAGAGTGTAAAGATATGAGACCCACCCACTTGTACAGATACCACTGATGAGCAAATCAGTGATACATTATTGAGGTCAAACCTTTGTAGGCTTTTTATGAAGAAAATTTTGATTTAATACATTTAGATAAAACAAGTCCCATACTGAATTTAATTGTCACATTATTTCTTTCATATGACTACAATTTTCTTCTTTATAAATCTCTAAAATCTTTTATTTTTCAATTTAGAGATCCATGGTAAACCTAAACTTAAAGACACCGGGAGGAAAAAGGTCTTGTCACTATACAAGACTGAAGTGGATCAGGTGCAGACGGACACAGAACTCTACAAGACTGATAAAAACAAAGAACCTGAGGGGGAACTGATAAAATCCTACAAGGATTTATTTGCCGACTCAAACAATGCTGTCCGAACGGTGCTTACAAGAGGGGTGGCAGGAATTGGTAAAACATTTCAGTCAAAGTTGTTCATGGTTGAATGGGCAAACCAAAAATCCAACAAAGACATCGACATCATACTCCCACTTCAGTTTGATGAGATGAATGTCCGACGAGAAGCTCAAAGCATGGAAGATCTGCTCAATAATTTCTTCAGTGATGCCAAAGGACCAAGATTTTCTATTTATGATGAGTGCAAAGTAGCTTTCGTCCTGGATGGTTTGGAAAACTGTGAACTTCCTCTGAACTTCAAGAACAGTGATGTTAAAGATATCAAGGAGAAAGTATCAATGGATGTGCTGCTAACTAACCTCATCAAAGGAAACCTGCTTCCCAAAGCACTTCTCTGGATCATCTCTCAACCCTCAGGAGTTCAGAAGATTCCTTCTGAATATATCAGTAAAATTACAGAATGTCGAGGTAAGAAACTGCATATTTTTAAAGCTCTACTGCTTTATATGTTTATTTAACTTAAGTGCATGTAAGATTTTACAAATAACTCAAAATGGTAACATGTTAAAACAGTATTCCTTAATTATATATATATTTTCATATTTATGTCTATGCTATCACAAATTATAAAATATACTTTGTTTTTGCTTAAGAAACCAAGGAACGTCGGAAGAAGCTGGCATTAAAACTCAAAAAAAGAGTTGTAAAGGAAAACAAACACATCGCACTGAAGGACGAAGTCAATCACCCTAATCAGAAAAACACAGAGCATATCATCAGAGGAAAACCTAATGATGAGGGCACAGAGAATGGGAAACATGAAACAACTCAGTTAAAATCCTTAACTCGAGTGAAGGATCCGGCTGAAATCTTTAAAGATGAAAATGAGAAGAAAATCAGAACTGTTTTGACCATTGGAGAAGCAGATGTTGGAAAATCCTACCTTATGCAAAAATTTATTACTGCATGGTGCAAAAGTGACAGCCAGCGTTCGTACTTTTCTCCTTTTTTAAGTTGGTTGAGCCAAGCTGAAACAAATGAAGACATTTTGTTTCATTTTGATTTCCTAAAATTCAATGCAGTAAAAAAAGAAAAATTCAGTTTGGTGGGACTTCTTAACCACTTCTTTGCTGAAACCAAGCATTGTGTCATTTCCGATTATACCAAATTCAACATTGTATTTGTCTTGGATGGTCTGGAGGCTTTTCAACCTCCTCTGAACTTTGACAACAATGAGATCTTGACTGATGTCCGAGAGCCAGCCTCTGTGGATGTGTTATTGACAAACCTCATCAGAGGAAACCTGCTCCCATCAGCCAAAGTCTGGATAACCTCCCGATCTTCAGCTGATGAAAAGCGCCCTGACATTTTTGACAGGTTAACAGAAATAAGGGGTACGCCTAAAATCTTTTGATTATTTACTTGTTTTTTACTTTTAACAGCATAACCTCCTTTTTGCCTTTCAGAGAAGCCTGATATTACAAGTCACAAAAAGCTCAAAATTCAACTGAAGGAGCGTTTTACCCACGTATGCGAAGGGATCGATCAGCAGAAAATATCTGTGCTTCTTAATGAGATCTACACAGACCTGTACATCATAGAGGGGGAGAGAGGAGATGTTAATACTCAGCATGAGATCAAACAGGTACAAGATGCAAAGTTCAAACCAGCAAAAGAAGAAAAATCCATCAAATATTGTGACATTTTCAGACTAGACTCTGATAATAAACCCATTAAAACAGTGCTGACAATCGGCGTGGCTGGCATAGGAAAAACGTTTGCTTCAGTGAAGTACATACTGGACTGGGCTGAGAGTGTCACCAATGGAGATTATTATTACATATTTCCACTTCCTTTTCGAGAGCTGAATCTGAGAAAAGAGGAAGAACACAGTTTTGAAGATCTTCTTCATCAGTTCTTCCCAGCTATGAAGACCTCAGAAATTACTGACTATGACAAGTACAAGATTCTAATCATTCTGGATGGTTTCGATGAATGTCGCCTTGATCTTAAGTTCAATGAAAATGATATTTGGAAAGATGTGAAGAAGCCAAAGTCAGTCAGTGTTCTGCTAAGTAATCTCATTCAGGGGCATCTGCTCCCTGAAGCTCAAATCTGGATCACCTCTCGACCAGCAGCATCCAACAGCATCCCTGCTGAGACAGTTGACCGATTGACAGAAGTGAGGGGATTCAATGATGAGCAAAAGGAAGAGTATTTCAGGAAGAGGTACAGTGATAAGGAGCTGGCTGAAAACATCTGGTCAAATGTAAAAAAATCGAGGAGCATTTACATCATGTGTCATATCCCTCTTTTCTGCTGGATAACATCAAAGGTTATGGAGGACTTTAACCAGCAAAATGAAGAGATCAAAGAGCTGCCAAAGACTCTGACTGATATGTACACACATTTCCTCCTGCTGCAGTGCAGACAGGCTAACGTGAAGTATGACACAGAAGAAGACGAGAGTTCTCAGTCATGCTGGAATACAAGAAATAAAGAAACCGTTTTATCTCTGGGGAAACTGGCCTTTGAGGCACTAGAAAGAGGAGACCTTCTCTTCACTGAAGAAAACCTGACAGATTACGGTATTGATGTCACAAAAGCTGTGGTCTTCTCTGGGTTGTTCACCCAGATAAAACGAGAAGAACATGGAGTGTACCAACACAAACTGTTCTGCTTTGTCCATTTAAGCATTCAAGAGTTCTTGGCAGCCCTTTACGTTTCTCATTCATTCAGTTGCAACGGTGATTATCTGTTCATCGATCATAGAACAGCCGACTCAGACCTGCCTGCCTCAGAGTTTTATAAGGAGGCGGTGGATAAGGCTACAGCAAGTGAACATGGTAGATGGGACCTGTTCCTTCGATTCCTGCTTGGCCTCTTTGTGAAAACCAATCAGGATCTACTTCAGGAGCTCATTAAAAGACCTGAAACTTATGAGATGAATTATAAGGAAACAGTTGAGTACATCAAAACCAAGACCAAAGAAGACACCAGTGATCCAGATGAAAACTTAAATCTTTTCCACTGCCTGAACGAGCTGAATGACCACTCTCTTGTTAACGAGATTAAAACGTCAATCCAATCAGAAAAAAAGGAATATGAACAATTCACTCACTCACAGTGGTCAGCTCTGACTTTTGTGTTGTTGACATCAGATGAAACGCTTGAAGTGTTTGATCTTAAGAAGTACCTGAAATCAGAGAAAGTTCTTCTAGGAATGCTTCCAGTGGTCCGAGTCTCGAAATCTGCTCTGTAAGTAAAATTTGAATATAGTTTTCTTCCAAACACTGAAGTTATCAGTATTACAAACCATTAAAAACAAAGGTAACTATAAAAAAAACTCAGTATATCCAATATATTTATTTTAGATGGGGTTAAATCCCATCTTGCTTGTCTATTCTTGTGGGCAGAGGGACCTGAAGGATGGTGTTTGTTTGCAATAGACCATTGCAGAATATATTTTCGTAGATTACAAATACACATTTACCATCAATCCATCCTTCTGCAGACCAAAGTGAAAGAAAGTGCTCTCTACTGCATATTCACTGTCATTTTTGACTTCCACCCAGAACTGTAAAAATGAGGAACATAATTTAATCAGAAAGTGAGACAACTTGTTGTAATGATAAAAATACAGAGCTACACAAAATGCTTTCAGGTCCACTTTTCACTGCCAAAATATTTATCAGGTAGCAAGGGCATCCGTTTGTTTTTAAAGTTGCTGGCGAGAATAACGCTGAACAGACAGCTGTTGCTGGGGACAAGTGTTATTATTAATGGTTCTTTAGTTTAGGGAACACAAATTAACCATTAGTTAGCTGCCAATTAATATGAATATTAGTGGACTACAAAGTCTGAACTACTCATTATTAAGCATTTATTAACAGCTTATTACTAATGCCGTAATTCTAACATTAACAGGCCATAAATCAAGAGTTTTATCAAAATAAGCCATTCATAATGGTTTAACTGACAGTGAATGGTTTATTGTTGATTAACACACATACTAATTAGCTCAAATCAATATGTGGCTTTTAACAAAGTAATTCAAAGGTAACATATTCTTGCCATCAGGTGGTTAATTAATACTAAACTACTAGTAATTAGGTATGAACAAAATCTGACTTTAGAATGGGGAACATATTCTTGCTTACAAGTGGTTAATTGATTGTTGTTTAGGCTCTATTAACATGTGGAGTTTGGTGTTTATTTCCATAACACTAGAACATAATATTTTTGGTTATTAATGCAGAATAACTATTCCCCTTGAATTACCTCTTAAAAGCCACATATTGATTTTAGCTAATTAGTACGTGCGTTAATCAGCAACAAACCATTTACTTTCAGTTAGCAAACCATAATGAATGGCTTATTTTGATAAAACTTAATTTATGGCCTGTAAATATTAGAATTACAGCATTGATAATAAGCACCTAATAATAGCTTAATAATGACTAATTCAGACTTAGTAATCCATTAATATGCATATTAATTGGCATCCAATAATGGTTAATTTGTGTTCCCTAAACTAAAGTGTTACCAATTGTTCATCAGCTTGATGTGTCCTTGTATTGACAGGCAGTGAAAATCGTACAGTTATTCAATCAATAAAAGCTAAATGCAGTGGTTTGAACCCATTGCTTTTAGTAAGTTTTCATCATACCAGTAAAATAATATGTAGCTTTGCTGTGGTAGGCGTTGGTCAACTCTACAGTCCCACGGCACCACCGAGCTGTCTGTGATCCACTAATAAAGAAATATTTCATGGTTTGACAGTAGACTACTTGACTGTCCATCATGTCAAAGAGAAAAAATTGAGCAATATCTAAAAGTTTTTCAGTAAACAAAACTGCTGTATGTGCAGCCTTACTAGTAGGACTAGCTAGAAATGACTTGGTTGATCAAGTCTGATGTTAAAGTTATCAGTAGTAACAGGTGAGCTGAAGGACTTGCTGATTACTGGTTGAGGGGAACAGATTTCCCAGCATGCCCTGCTCTTTCTGAAGTGTTGAAAATTTAACTAAATAAATTAATTATTATTTATTGTTATTCACAGTCAAAACATCATTAATGAAATAATTCCAAAATTGTTTATTCAGAAATTGTGCTGAAAGCACAAGTGGCTGAATTATCTATGCTGGTAAGAATGACCGGTTTTTAAAATAAGTAGGAACAAAACTGTCAATTATAAAGTTGGTGGGGGCTTGTCTCTGGCGTACCCGGCTTACATGACACTTGTGTTAAACTGCCAATTAACCACAGTGGTTTGCTTTCTGAATTTGCAGACTGTGTCAGCATTGATAAATAACATTGACCTAACAACTTGGCCCAGTAAAATATGCCTGATTAATATTGTAAATTATATTTTTGCAGGCTGAGTTGGTGTGAACTCTCTGAAGAATCGTGTCATGGTTTGACATCCTCAGTTCTCAAGAATGCTTCCTCAAACCTCACAGACCTGGACCTGAGTCACAATGATCTACTGGATTCAGGTGTGGAGCAACTAGCTGAAGGACTGAAGAGTCGACACTGCAAACTGGAGGCACTGATGTAAGTGTGCATTGCTATTATTATACCTTAATCTCAACCTTGGATTAATCATGGGTAAGGGGTACAAGCTATGGAATTAATCTTTGGATTCAACGTCTGTGTGGTCAAGACATCGACAACGATGAAAAAAAGGAAGATTTGATTTTTCAAACAACAGCTCTCTAGATAAAATTCCAAGGCACTTCACAAGCACATTAAAAATAAATAAAGATAAAAAAGATAATAAAAAAGTTTTAAGGTGGAATAAGTAAGAATAAGAATGAATAAGTAAGCACAAGAGCCTGAAAAATACAGAAATGACAGAAGCAGTAGCATGAGGGGAAACTAGTGAGGAAGAAGAAGATAAACTGGAGTTCACATGAAATCTAGTCTGAACAGATGAGTTTCAGATGCTTTTTAAAGGAGTCCACTGAGTCCGCTGATCTCGGGCTTGGGGAGAGAATTCCAGAGTCTGGGGGCCACTGCAACAAATGATCTGTCCTTCGGCCTTTAACCTGGTGTGCTGCACTACCAGTAGGCTTTGATCACTGGGTCTCAGGCACCTGCTGGAGTCGTAGGGACTGAGAAGATCACCAATGTATGATGGCACTTGTCCATGTAAGGCCCTAAAAACCGGACACTGGATCTTGAAGTGCACTTTGAAGGCACGAGCCTCGAAGTGACACGAGGACGTGGCAACGTTCCAGACAGTAAAAAGAACGAGTTTACTGTTAGTAAGGAGGGAGATCTGGAATCTGGAATGGATCTGGAGTTACGAGCCGTGACGACACAATGGGTTGAGCTGTGGTCGTCCTATTTGAACTGGATTATCTCTGCTACGACCCGGGAGCCACTGGGCGGTGTGAGCACGGTGCTCCAGGTGCAACAGCGTGACAAATTGAGCTGACGCACTGGAAACATAAAGATAAGGGTAAAGTAAAATATGCAACCGAGTGATGCGCCGTAAGATACGACACAAGCGGAAAACGCCTAGACCATGGACGGAGCTTAGAAAGTACGATGACTGAGCATGGACTGTTGTGAAGGACTTCCTGAAATAAGGTAAGCATGGTGACGTGGAGAGGTGGAAACCAGTGCAAGGAATGCTGGGAAGTGGAGTTCTAGGTGATGTCTGACAGAGTGGATGGCTGGAGGTCTGGAATCATGACACATTACCTCCAGAATGCACGCCAAATCCACCAATAACTAAATATCTGCTATGCTACAATGTCAAATTCTTTTTGGTCACCGGTGTCTTTTATAAGTTCTAACACAAGTTATGCAACAAAGCTTTTTCTCCACTGACAAAATTACTTATTGGGTAAAAATAATTGGAGAATGAGGAACAAGTGAGGAACAGAGACCTTCAGTACTGCGGTTCCTCCATTCTACCTCTAGATCCTGTGGGTATGCATGGTCAGAGCTATTGATGCATAACAATAACATGGAGGATGAGGTGGACCAGTGAATCGAGGCTCCATCTGTATTAATGAGAGCGTATTTTTGGTCTGTCATTGTATAGAAGGAGCTGTGCCAGAGGGCTAAACTCTACTTAAAGGAGACATAACATGCTTTTAAGTTATTCCTTTTTACATCTAAATCCTTCAGTTGGGGTCTAAATACAGTGGAACTGCAGTTCTTTGGTCTGATTTCCTCATTATTGTTGCTCTACAGACCCTCATCTACCCCTGTTCTGAGGAGAGTCTTGAGAACGAGCCGTTTTAGAGTACTGTCTCTTTAAATCTGGAGGAGGAGCTGTAAACTCCGCCCCCCTCCATAGTGCAGACCTGTACTCTCCTCCCCCGTCGGACTTTGTAGTTCTATAGAGAAATCATTATTTAGCATAGCAGAAACATTATATTAGCATTTTTAAAACATGTGGGGAGAGTTGTTCATCAGGCTGTTTCAAGGCTGCTAACTCTCTTAAGCATTTGTCTGTAGTCACTCACACACACCCGTCACGGCCGTCGGAGGGACAAGCGAGCAGGCACGCGCGTGCACTCACACACATATACACACATCCGTCACGGCCGACGGAGGGACAAGCGAGCAGGCACGCGAGCACACACACACACACGGAATGCTGCTTGCTTATTTATTTCTATAAAAAATGTTTTAAAAAATGATACAGCTCATTAAAACACCATTAAAAGAATATATTTTATTAAGCTCTCTCTCTCTCTCTCTCTCTCTCTCTCTCTCTCTCTCTCTCTCTCTCTCTCTCTCTCTCTCTCTATATATATATATATATATATATATATAATTATAAATAATTTTATAAGTAGTCTTGTTTTATATTGGGTGTCTTAATGGGTGAAAATGGATAAAAAGCAGTTACATTTTAATTTAAAGATTTGAGATTCTAGTCAAAAATAAAGAACATTCCTCCAAATGTTCTTTAATGTGATCATTATAATTCTAATGCTTACAACTTTGTTTTTATTGTCTGCAATGCGTAGCCTATATCTTTATTAAATATGTGTTTAGCTGTAAAGTGGTAATTCTCTCTAATGTGTACACAGAGGTGGACATCAGTGCTGCAGTGAAATTCCCAGGATCAGTCTGCTTTGCTAACAAATATAGTTAAATCTTACCTGCATTCTAAATAAATACCGTTAGGTGAAAACATAAGTAGGCATTGAGTTATTGATAAAATCCCTAACAGCCAGAATGGAAGAAGAGCATGCTGGACCATCCTGGATCTGAGCCTGTTCTGTGTATTTACCTACAGGATGCAATAAATGTCTACAAGGCTGAGTTTGGACCATTACATCTAAAAGAAAACATACAATCAGTGATTTTTTAAATTGTTTACATTAATATACACATTTTCTAAGTATTAACCTCACAGCAAATAAGTAGAACAATATAATAAACAGGCTTTAGTAGTTAAACAGGCGTTGTGCACACAGGTGCTTTGTGTCTCGGTGCTGGTGGTATCTGGGTCTCAGAGTTCCTGTCCTCCTGCCGTCTTCTGTTGTCCTCAGGATATGGATTGATGTTTCCTGATGATGAGGGAGGGGCAGTATGTGGGCTTCAAACTGGTCCTGGATAACAGTGGGAGACCTCCGTTGTCTGAATACTGAGACCAGAGAGTTGGTGAGATGCAGATCTTCTCTACCTCATCTAGAAACGGAGTTGGTTCAGGGAAAACTTTTCCAATGACCAGTTCCATGATGTCATCACCATATTCTGCAATGATAGACAATAACTTTAATGACATACCGTAAATCCTCTAGTACAGGCCGGTATTCAATTAAAAGCCGGGTCTCCAATTTTGGCCGGTGTCAGAGTCAGCGGAGGTAAATAATGGCCGGTCTCTTATTGTGGCCGGATGGAATTAACAAGCAAGTACGAGCGTCCCAGCGGTAGTCCCCAAATCAACCAGCAGAAGGCAGTAGGTATTCAGCAGACCTTTATGAGGCTTTTTCTTCAACACTTTGTAACGCTACAGACACGATCCTCTATCACGCTCCTACCACACAGAGTCATGGTGTCAGTTAACCATGCTAATTCAACCCGCTCCACAGAACACACATCACCTTCCCTGTGGCTTACATAACACTCACACAACACGCAAATCAGCACATAGGAACTAGCAGAACGATAGGAAACACATATAACACAATACCCAGAATGCACCTGGCTTACAACCCCAGCCAGGTCATTACACTATCAAGTTCAAAGAGAACGTGCTGATTATGCTGCAGAACACTCTGGAGAGCAGCAGTAGGGGTTGTATGAACTACAGTAATCCCTCGTTTATCGCGGTAGATGCGTTCCAGACCTGGCCGCGATAGGTGAAAATCCGCGAAGTAGGGACTCCCAGCATGCCCCTCGCGGGGATTCCCTCCACGTCGCACCTACGTCACAAACCGCGGCTATAAACGGAAGTCGCCTTTCCAGCTCACCACTCAGTCATCGTTTCTTCAGATTCACGATCAGAGTTTCCAACCTACCGATCAATCCAACGAACTATCAGCTCATAGTAAGTTATCTTACTTACTTCTGGAAAGCCCGGCATTTCCGTGTCACTTCGTTGACGCTCGAACGCTCGGGGGTTTCCTAGAGCAGCCGGCGTTTCACCGACGCTATCACTTCCGCGTCTGTGTAACCACGCTCCCTATTGAATTATCGTATGATCACATTCTCTGTGATCAGCAACGCGCTGTGCCAGACCGTAGGTACTGACACGTGATCGTTCATGTCAGTTCATTTCCTTTAATGTTTTCTGTCTTTTATTTGCGCCTGATGCGTTTCGCTGCTGTGGAGCGGGGCGCTGCGGGCATCACCTTGTCCTCCGATGCACTGATCACTGATACGGCAGCCAAACAGCAAGCGCTCCGCTGTTTTTGCGGTTGGTAGATCTATTAGAACTGCAGTTCAAAGGTAACTCATGAGGTGAATATATATGAACCCAGGTAGCAGTTTTTCTTTAGGATTGAGAGGAGATGCAGGAAGATAATAAACAGACAGGACAGAAAAATAGTCAAATAAAAACAAGTTAGTTTTTGTACCTGGTGTTGCAACAAACAGACACCATTGAAGGTCATCAGAAGTGAGGAACAGAAAATGAAATAATTATTTTAATGTTTAGAGCAGCAGGAACTCAGAGAGGCTGCAGGCGCATCCGTGAGTTTGCGGCTGCTGCGCAGGGGGAGGGGGGAGATGGCTGAAGCAGAAACTACCGTTGTTAAAAGAAATGTGTTTAACTTTGAAAATGTGGGCGCAATTTTAATTGTCAAAAACTCCAGCGAACCATTAGTTCATTTTGCTCAAATAGAAATAGAGGCCTGCCTCTAATACTGGCCCTCCTTCCAATAAAGGCCTGGAGCTTGATGAGCTTGAGTCAAATACAGGCCCGGGCCTGTATTAGAGGATTTACGGTATTTTGTTTACAAGCAGCTTTAGGAAAGTTGGTTCTTTAGCTTTCATGTTTATAGTCACGTTTGTGTTGTTTTGGTTTACTTTGTTCACAAGTTCACTTTGCTGCAGTGACTTCATATTTTCCTGCAAATGTAATAAAATAGTGACACTAAAATTATACAAATGATTCCTTATGAAAGGAAGCTCATTAGAGAGCAGCGCAGACAGACTTACTACATGCTGCAGTTGTTTTTGTAGGCCAGCTGCTGCTGAACTTGGGGAAAGTTATTCTGCACACGTCCAGATCAGATGGTCGATTACAGAAAATAATGTAATTCAATAATTTCTAAACAGACTAAACAAGTAAAACATCAAATAAATCACTCTGCTGTCATCAGACGGAGTGATTCAGCGGGTGAGGTATGCTTAATGATGAGGGTGGCTGAGGAGTAGGGCTCAAGTGTCATCACTCACTTTGGTCTGGTCCAGACCGTCTCTTTACTGGTGGGTCTCCTTCCTCAGTAGGTGACGTGAAGCTTCAACATCTGAACGTTCTGTGTTCCTTAGAGGAGAAGAAAAGTAACATTAGCAAGCTGGCTAAATCATTTTTTACTAGCATCTCAAGGCCTTGGAGAAGCAGATCTTCACTTACCTAAACATCAGACCAGTTTGTCCCAGCTGAGCTAATCAGGGCTTTAGTCTGACAGCCTGTCAGTGAAACATGGCTCCAGCCTTCTGGATGTTGACTCTAAAAAGCAAAGGAGCATTTTTACTTTGTTTTAATTATTTTACAGCTGATTTTATCAGCTTTCCAACGCTCACGCTCATACAGACGGTGAGCTTTGCTGCGTCTGACTGATGCAGAGTTAGTTTTTATATCTGCAGTGAGACAAAAAAACTAACCTCACTTCACTCAGAGATTGTTCTTTAAAACTCGTATTAAATCCACTGTTGACGCACTTTAACGACTTTGTCACGCTGCATTTTAGCTGATATGGGACTTTATTTACTGGATGCTAAGATTACATCACACTCACGTAAAATAACACACAGGCTCTCTGCTGCTACAATCAGTGGAAGGTTATCATCTGTTGTTCTGTTGATCAGAAATCCCAGATCACGTTTTATTCCATGAAAATCGGCCAAATCCACATTAATCTGGGTGCTAACTTTACTAGCATCACTCTGCTAGTGATAGCAAGCCGGATGCTAACGCTTTATTGCTGCTAATGCCCGTAAATCTAAAGTAAAGTTTGTCGACATTTTAGAGTGATATGAAGCTTACCGCTCTGCTGCTGTGTCCCGGTGCTGTCACATTCAGATGGAAATTACTCCTTTTAGATAGATGAAGCCCTCGGTACTTACTAGCCTGGGCACGAACGAACGAACCGCGCGCGCGCGCGCACACACACACACACACACACACACACACACACACACACACACACACACACACACACACACACACACACACACACACACACCTTTTTCTTCTGTGTTTTTTTTAGCAGTAGTGTCATCAGCTCCTGGGTTTAAATACTGCCACACCACTCTTCCTTAAAACGAGGAACAGTTTTGAGCTGTATGTGGCTAAAATAACCAGACATTCTGCATTTTCCCAATAGGACTACAAAAAATCTTAGCGAGAAGAAAAAATGGCGGATTGGCTCTGTGTTTAGCCGAGGGCCATTACCATATTTGGTAGTTATCCTGACGAAATAAATTACTGATGTAATAGATAATTTGAAAAACTGAACGGGTGGACAAATATGCCCAAAACTTAATTATTAAATATCTAAATAGCAACTCCAGTGAATAATATAAGCCTTTTTGCTCACTTAGACACTTAAAATGTGAAACACTCTGTGTTAATGGATAAAAAAGTGGGTTTTTCATGTTATGTCTCCTTTAATATTCTGTCTATGTTACAAAGATTTTGAATGCATGCAGCTTCCTCTCTAGGGTGGATGGGCTAAACATTAAGGTGAGGAGCTCCATCATATGTGGTGAGCTTCTAGTAAAGCCACAGTTCCTTTTCATCGAACAGAATCAGCTGAATTGGTTTAAGCATGGGATTATGATGCTTTCTCTCTCTGGCCAAATCATTATCGTTGTGTTCTGATAAGCCAAACCCTATTTTCGAAAGACAAAGCAGTTGCTTTTTCCCTGCATGTACATTGCCACATTTGTGTGCAAATTCATTTTTATAGTAAACGGTTTTCAAAATGTTGCTTACTATGCCATGCCTGTTTTGTGTATACTACTGTGAATAACTGTGTGTGTAAGTACGTACATTTTTTTATGGTTTTCGTCATTGACAGAAATCACAAAGTGCCTCACATAGATCAAAACAAAACATATAATAACGTCATGAAATCATAAAGATAAAAACAGTCATAAAATTATATAATACCATAAATCAAATTAAAGATTATTACAAATTCTAGTTTAAAATAAGGAAATAAAATATTTTGATAAAAGCAGCTTTAAATAAAAGGGTCTTCAGCAGTTTTTTTTAAGTGTCCAAGACTGTCAATACTACATAAGAATAAAGGAAGTTCATTCCAAAGTCGGGGTGCAACAGTCTGGAAGGAGCGATCACAGAAGCAACAATACAGATGAATATCATCTGCATATGGGTGATAAGATACATTATGAAAATAATCAGTTATCTGTCCACGAGGGTGTGTGTACAGTAGAAACAAAAGTGGACCCAAAACAGAGCCTTAGGGTACCCCACAGAACAAATCAATAGAATCTGACATGATTTGGTTTATACAGAGAATGTAACTTCTGTTAGAAAGGTACGATCTAAATCAATCTAGAACCGTTCCAGAGATCCCCACCCAGTCACCAAGTCTGTTAATGAAGGTGCTGTAATAGAGCAACAATACAGATGAATATCATCTGCATATAGGTGATAAGATACATTATGAAAAGAATCAGTTATCTGTCCAAGAGGGTGTGTGTACAGTAGAAACAAAAGTGGACCCAAAACAGAGCCTTGGGGTACCCCACAGAACAGATCGATAGAATCTGACATGATTTGGTTTATACAGAGAATGTAACTTCTGTTAGAAATGTACGATCTAAATCAGTCTAGAACCGTTCCAGAGATCCCCACTGAGTCACCAAGTCTGTTAATGAAGGTGCTGTAATAAACAGTGTCAAAAGCTGCAGAAAGATCTAACGATACTAACACTGTGAATTCCCCGTTGTCTGCAGCCATCATGATGTCACTGGAATCTTTAAGAAAAGCTGTTTCTGTTTAACGCTTTTTTACGAAAACCAGACTGGATTTGATCAAAACTGTTGTGTAGTTCCAGAAAAGTAATTTAGTTGATGTGCCTCAACCTTTTCCAATATTTTAGAGATGAAGGGCAATTTAGAAATGGATCTGTAATGTTTTGGCTGAGAGTAGTACAGACTGGGTTTTTTAAGGATGGGTTCAACAACTGCATGTTTGAAAACAGATGGTACAGAGCCAGATTGCAGAGATGGATTAATAAAATCCACAATGCATGGGCCAATTTGGTCAAACATCTTAACAAATAAGGTGGTAGGTATAATGTCTAGAATGTGTGTGGTTGGTTTCATGTGTTTCTGAATGAGGCAAATGTCCTGGAAATCTACAGGGGTAAAGATGGACCATGATTGGGAGGAAGGTGGTTGGAGAGAGAGAGTAGGAAGTAGATGAGGGTGAATTTTATTCTCAAAGAATGCTAGAAAGTTGCTATCAACCTCGAGTAAACAGGCATGTGGGGCGTGAGGTGTAACAATCTGGTTTATGGTGTCAAATAGCGTGTGTGTTTGATTTACAGCTTATCAGGTTGCCAGGTGACTGAGAAAGGCTGTGATTTTCTGGCATCAGCACTCAAATCTAACAAAGCCTCCAACTTGAAGAAACTTGATCTGAGCTACAACCATCCAGGAGAAAATGGGATGAGAGTACTCAATGACGTTGCTGCTGACTCTCATTGGAAGCTTGAGACAATACGGTATGTTAAAGTGTAAAAATTATATTTTCTGTTTATTTTCTTTATGACAGAGCTACACAGAAACTGTTTAAAATGTGATAGAAGCAAAAAGAAAAACTTGGCAGCATTACTCCCATTACTAGTAAAAATGGCTGCAGCTGCGAATGCTTTACTGTCTGTGAATCAGTTACATTTGAAACACTTTAGTTTGAAATTTTCCCTCAATTTAACAACTGCCTCCATCAGAACATCACACGATGCTGAAAGTCTTTTCAAATGTAAGGATGTGTGGACATTCCTTGTCAATCTAAAACGTTGCCTTTTGTTTTAATTATGATTTCAAGGTTTGACCACGACGGGCCACATCGGTTAAAGCCCGGGCTGAAGAAATGTAAGTCTTTACTGTAAAAGAAAGACAATATTTTTTACTTTAAATGTTTTAATTATTTAATTATTGGTAGGATGAAATGTATTAAATATTCAAATTCAACAGTATTTGAGGTTTTATTAATTAAATTATGAATTATTTTGAAAATACATTTGGAATAAAAATTATAATTATCTCCCAATGATATCTAACAAGCTATATGAACAATATATTCATCTTAGAAATGAAAAGCCAAAGTTCGGCTTCATTGTGACATTCTTATTTATTTTTCTGGCAAAAATAATTTTTCGATCAATGTTTCACGTCTTAATTCTGGAAGCGAAGGGAAGTTTGTTCAACTCAGTTACACTAAAATACTTCTAAATGTGTTTCAGATGGTGCAGATCTCAAACACTGCAAGCAAAAGACTTGTTCTGCTGGAAAATGACAGAAAAGTGAGAACTACAACGGTGGAGGAGAGAGTTGCACAACCTACAACTGAAGAAAGGTTTAAGAGGACCCAGGTGTTTTGTGATAAGGGCCTGAAATTTCTCTGCTACTGGGAAGTGGAATGGAAAGGCCATGTTGGAGTTGCTGTGGCGTCTGAAGATGTAGGTAGAAAATGGGACAGTAGTAGTGGCTTCGGATGTAATGAGAAGTCCTGGAGTCTGCTCTGCTCTAAAACTGGAGGCACTGCCATTCATGGGAAAGAAAAACACAAACTTACCATTAAACCTTCCCAAAAAATAGCAGTGTTTCTTGACTGGGAAGGTGGAACTCTGAGTTTCTATAATGTTATATCGGAGGAGCTGAACCTCATCCACACTTTCAGAGCAAAATACACAGATGAGCTCTTCCCAAGTTTCTGGTTTCAGAAGGGTTCTGTGAGCTTGTGTGACATTTGAACAGCTCAAAATGAGATGAAGTCTGAATTTGCTTCAGGGATTACCACAGAATGCTCTACCACACATGTGAATATTTATTTTTAAACCATAATTGGTTGGTATGGTTATTTTTATCATTACATTTATATTTTTGTACATATCAAGATAATCACGAGTTCCTTTTTGCACTTGTATGAGCCTTAAAGTAAATAAGGAGAGGTTTGATTGTATTTGTTAATGTTCAAAAGGTTGTTTGTTTATTTTTGATGTGATCTTGTTATGTGGGTCAATCAAGTGGGAATGGAAATCCTTTAAAGCCCTCATCAGTTCCACCTGGTGAAGAAGCGACTCTCAGTGAGATGGAGCTTTGCACTATTTGTTGACCGCTTAACAGATCGCTGAGAATCAAGTGAATTCAGGATGCTTCTGTTGACAATGTGAATGATAAAATACAGAAGTTCAAGTATTAAAATTAATTCACTAAGAACCAAAGGATCTCAGTCGGTTATTGTTCAGCGCCTCAATACTGGACCCTATCTCAAACAGAGCGGCGACTGGGTTACGCTTCCGGGAGCCGCTGGAACAGCACTTAACAGATCCATGAAACATCTAACCTTAACCGTGGGATCGATTTATAACATTACTATCAGTTCAATTCATTCAGCAAATCTGGACTGACCAAATAAAACCTGCTTGTTGTATACGTTTGATTTATCAGTCACTTTTATTTTAGACATTTATGGCTGCACTGAAAGATACTGGAATACTTTTATGAATGTTATATTTTTGATGAACATCTAGAGAACCGTTTAAGGGAATACCATGAATTTGTTTTTTTGTCACATTTGTATCAACGGGATCTTTAATCCTGGTTTTCATTTCAGTTGTTTTTGAATGTTTGATGTTAAAAAGACCCAGTAATGACATTGTTTAAGATTTATTGTCCAGGTGAGAAACTTTATTTACAGTTTGTTAAAATATGACATAATGTAGCACGTAAGTTACCTATGTCCTCATACTGTACCACACGCACTAGCTATGCTTATAAACACAAACCCGCTACCATTAAATCAGAATTCCTCATGTGTATTATTTAATCCGTATGAACAGTGTGAATATGAATTAATGAGGTGTACTGAAATGATGAATAAAACTTCGTTAGTTGTCACACATCTAATTTGTTTAATACATTTTATAATGTTCTTTTTTTACGCTAAATTAAATCTTATTATCTTAATGCAAACATGTTTATTTTAATATTAATACAAATCATCAAGACCTTCCATAACCATCAATCACTGTAAAAACCTCAGTAACTCAAGTAAAAATTGACACTGAGTGCAAAACTTCACCATGAAGCTCTGGTTTCACAGTTCAAGAGGAAGCTGTAATGGTGTGAAGAATTTTTAACCAGCACTAAACCGAGAGCACACTCATGAAATGTTTAATCTCAGACATCATGTGAATGAATGGAAATGATTTTTGGCTTTCAGCACTTTATGTTTCTGCCCTTTGACCTGGAAAGACAAAGTAAATTAAACTCTGAGAGCTCTGCCTTTGTGTGTGTGTGTGTGTGTGTGTGTGTGTGTGTGTGTGTGTGTGTGTGCGCGTGTGTGTGTGTGTGCGTGTGTGTGTGTGTGTGTGTGTGTGTGTGTGTGTATGTGTGCGCATGTGGCCCATAGCGCTGTGCCATTTGATACTTTGGTTAACCAAAAATACTGAGCGCTTGCCTGTGGCCATGTGTGAGTTATATTGCTTGTGTGTGTGTGTGTGTGTGTTTCAGCAGTCATTTAATCCATCCATCCTCAGGTTGCACATCCACTCTGCTTCCCACAGACGACTCAGACTGCACATTCCTGCAGCTTCCCTTGGACCCGGGGACCCAAGCTGCATGGCAGCAGGGTGTTACTGCAGTGCAGGGTGACAGGGTCACCTCCTTCAGTAGGTCTGTTATTAGATAAAATCTTATCAGCAGACATTTTTCAGAGAGAACCAGCTATTAGAGAGACATATCACTAATATGGGGTCTTCTGCTTCTTAAACTTCTGCCAAAAGAAATCATCAAACAACCCTCCAATAATTGGACAACCTACACTACTACTACTACTGCCACCCTTATCAATTAATGTAATTTAACTTCTTTATGGTTGATTTCTTATATGACCAAATTTACAGTTACAATAACTTGTTTTTGTCAGAAGGATGTTCTGAGTTGTGGTGCATTTTAAAGGTAATGCCCAGAAGCAAACTTCCTTTGAATGACACGTGTAAAAAATGTTGTTACTGCCAATCAGAAAAGGAAAATTAAGACTATACCACTCAGTGGACAACAGCAGTAATGAAAGCCATCAAGCTGTGGATATAGATATTTAGGTCTTGGCTGTCCAAGACTCTGAAGCAATATCTTGTAAATAATAATAAAAAAAAATGCCTTCATGTGGGAAAAAAATGGACGAAAACAACTGGAGTGCTTTTTTTTTTGTTTACCAATGTTAGAACAAAGTATCATTGTAGAAACTTCAAGTTGTCAAAATTAACAGGTGGTAATTAGAAAATTGTGAATAAAAACCACCAATGAAAAAACACAACATTGTGTGTTTTATTCGTTTGGTTCTTACTGTGGTGAGTGAGGTAATTCAGTGCAGGCATTTGTTTCATAAGGCCAAAGTTTACGACTGACAAACTGACCTGTGTGGTTGTCCCTCTGGGATGCAGCGTACAGTCCTTCCATAGACAGGAAACCATAGAAGGAGTTTATTGTAGAGTCATGTCTTTGTCACTCAGAAGGAAAATGCTGAAGAGAGACACATGCTGCAGGCTTTTCCCAGTTAACACAACCCTACAGTGAAAAGTCCAACAAGCCTTGGACCAGATTTGGCTCCCAATATGTTGTCATGAACAGATGTTGATAAAACCAGATGTGAATATGAGTCAGATTTATTTATTATTTTAGCCACAGCAGGATGAAAAAGCTGTCAGAGTTACACCAATGTAAAATTAAAAAAGCAAATCTTGATTCTAGAAGACTGACTCTTGCTTTACAGTGTTTTGACTTTTATCACTAAGATATAGAGGGGAAGTGACATTGCACTTAATCTCCTAATTACACAGAAAAACTAAATGGCAACAACAATCCCAGAGTTAAACGCTGACTTAACAGTTTTGACACATGCTATTTTAACATTTGTGCTCCTTTGTGATATTTTTGAAGCCGCAGCTAATTACCAAAGAATGGTCACAATCCCACACGGACCTCACAACAGACTAGTGGCCTTTTGCCAAGGTGAAGGAAATCCATTGGTCCATCAAGGAGGTCAGAGAAAACCAGCTGAAAGTTATAACTTTTTCACCGCGAATGGTGAAAAAGTTCCCTTGAAAAAAGGTTTTTCATCTTAATGGGCTCTTCCTGGGCAAATGGAAAAAACCATACCAGAACTTGCACCAAACTTAAACCATGTTTTCACTCTAAAACTCTAAAGTTATTTTACTATGTAGGGACTTGTTTTCTGTCCTTCAATGAAAGGTGTGTCAAGCAGCGATAATGCACTCTCATAAATGTCCCCTAAAATGACTAACACACATATTCACAGAGAGTGTTGATTACCCACGTCTAAACACAATGTGCTCAATGAGGGTCGCCTGCTGCCTGCAGGTATGACGAGTAATTGGTTCCACATTTCAAGACAATCCCTGCTGGAGAGTCTGTTTGGACACAGAAAAGGGTCAAAAGTGCAACAGCAGTTTGTTAAACTTGAAATTAATAAATAGAAATTGAAAACTACATAATTACAACTTTCCCGTTGTATCGTTATGTATATTCATGCTGCATGTCTGTATTTACATGTGCAATTAAAATACTAAACATGAACCATGCATTATCAAATCAGAAAACCTTGATTATGACAATCACCCATGCCACATGACCAGTTGAGCTAAAGTGAACTGTATCACCAAGGTATCATGTTTGACATGGCCCACACTTTGTTCTTTTTCTATTAAATACTGATCTTTGTGCTTGTGGATACACGTGTCAAAACATCATTCATCACCTCTAAAACCTTTGTTATTCTTCCAGTGCTGTCCTCATTTCTTTTCAATCCTCCCTTCTGCATCCAACAGCTTTTTGTTTCCTTCTGGATTCTCAACTTTCTAACAATTTTCTTCCCCCACAAGTCTCTGATTGTGTGATTGTAATTACAATGACTTCTTTAAACATTTTGTGTTTTATAGAGCATTTCCTTCATCGATTTTTTACTGTCCGTCCCCTCTCCTTTACGATGTTATTATGTTAAAATGATTGATGATTGGGTGATACATCAGAAGAAGGGAAGCAGTGTGGAAATAGAGTGTAGAGGTCAGTGTACTGGATAGTTAGTTTTGGACGATTCCCTCTGGGAGGTGCAGGTGCCACATTCATCAAAAGGAACCCTTCTAATCCTAATAATTCATGCCACTCTTATTTGTATTACTTCTTTTGAACCTGTTTGCCGCAAAGAAACCATTTTCTGCAAAATTCTGAAAATTTGAAGAAGAATGATTGACGGTTTTGAACTAGGATCTAGACTTTAGTACTTGTAAATGGTATCATGTCTTGTAACATTAAACCTGTTCATTAACATGTTGTTTTGTTTTTTAATAAGTAACTTTTTTGATGCATAACTTTTGTTTTGTAACATTTTTATAAAAAGTAAATAGTTTTGTAACACTTCGTTTTGTAACATTTCATTTTGTAACGTGTAACATGTTTTGTAACATTAAACTTCTTTAGTAACATGTGATTTTATTTTTTAACAAGTAAGCTGTTGTGTAATTTGTAACTTTTGTTTTGTAACATGTAAACATTTTCTAACAACAAATTTGTTTCGTAATACATGACTTGTTTTGTAACTTTCATTTTGTAACATGTAACTTGTTTAGTAAAATATAACGTGTTTTGTGACATTTAAATTTAGTTTTGTAACTTGTAACTTTTGCTTTGTAACTTGTAAAATGTTTCGTGACATTTAACTTTTGTTTAGTAATGTGGAACTTGTTTTGTAACACTTCTTTGGTAACATGTTTATTTTATTTTGCAACAAGTAACTTGTTTTGTAAGATTTAACTTTTGTTTTGTAACATGTGACATTTTAGCAACAAGTTACTTGTTTTGTAACATTAAAATTGTTTAGTAACTTGTAATTTTTGTTTTGTAACAGCTACCTTTTGTTGAGACAACTATAGCACAGTGCTTTTATTATAGAAGAAACATAAAAAAACATATACTTGATGTTTTAAACAACTGCAGCTTACTAGCTATGCTGCTAACCTTAAACAACCAGATCTTTATTTGTAGGTAATGCAAACTATCAAATAGTGTGAAGGGTTTTAAAATGGTGTTTACATGGACCACTTTGATAGCTTTTGAATTAGAGTTGTATTACAAGAGCAGAACTTGATCCCTAACACTAGTGCTTACATTGTCAATCTAGTTGGAAATTTTACAAAACAGATAGTAAGTCATTTAAAATGTCCACAGGACAGGAAAACACATCCAGCAAAAAGTCCACGCTTTTTAAAAACCTAATAGATGTTTAAAATTTTCCGACATACTTTATTTTCACTGATAATGTCCACTCTGAATCTGACACTTTAGGACTGAGTGAAGAATTCAGTGGTCAGCTTGTAAGAGTGTACTTGTGTTTTAAGGTACAGGAGAATGTCTGTTACTTACTTATTGATGTCTGAAAAGAGACTAAACAGTTGTGTTATGGTGTGTAAGAAAATGATGGAAAGATCTAAATACTTTACTGTTTTTGTATAAATTCCAAACCCAACAGAGTTAACGTGTCTTATTAAAAGAACTGTGAGACTTTCCTGCTCCTTTCAATCACAAATAAACACTTTGGGAGGTTTCTGCCCTTTTCCAGGACTTTGTATATATAAATACTGGTAGGACCTTAAAGGCAAATACCAACTAAATTCAGAGCCACATTCCTGCTTTGAAATTCGTTAAAACCAGAACTTAGGACAAACTCATTTAGGTTCTCTGACCATGACAAGACCCTCTTCCAAAACCACAAAAGTGAGAGGGGAGGAGAAAAATGTCATATCATCAAGATGCATGACCAGGAGCTGCTCTGCTGATAATAATGGTTGCTCGACTTAGTGGGAAAATCTTACTATAGCAGATCAA